GGGGGGGGGGCCGGGGGCGGTGGCTGCGGCCGGGCACGGCCCTGCCCACTGCAGCAGCCGGGGTGGCCGCGTGAGTGGTGGCTCCGCTGCCGCCTGCATGCGAGAGGCTCGGGGCCGCGCTTTGCCCTGGCGCAGCGCTGGGCGGGGGCCTCGCCTCGCCTCGCCTCTGGGAACAACCCCCGGGCGCCCTCACGCAGGAGCTCGAGGCCGCCTCTCCGGGGGGAGGCAGCGTCCACTGGACTCCTTGGGGGGCTGCTCCGCTCCGGACCGCCTTTCCAGATCCCTGGCTTTGAACCTCTGACCCCGCTCCCTTCCCTGCTTTCCTTTTACTTTGCCCCAAGGAATTAGTGGCCGCTGTCTCAGTAGCCTCTTTTTCTCCGGGGGCGTTGGCCCACGACCCCTTCTCGCAGCAGCAAGTGGGCCGGTGGGTGGAGGGACGAAGCCGCTTCAAGTTGAGGCTTTCAGATCAAGTGACCAAGTGCGCGGGGCTCATTTGCCCGTGCGGTGCCCTGGGCAGGTGTCCCTGGTGTACTGGTGCTCGCGGTTGCCTTACAAACGTGGGAGGCGGTAAGTGGCCAAGTCCCTGGCAAATGATTCTCATCTTTCAGGCCAGGCCAAAGTGCTGATCTGTCAAAAGGTTTTGTGTTAGGGGAGCTTGTGCCTGTTCCCAGGTTCTCCCATGGGGTTCTTCACCAGTGGGTGCCTGGGGCAAAAGGGAAGGGCCTTGCCACACGTTCAAGCAAAAACTGGATAGAAACCAGCTACAGACTTGTTACATATTGTCACGTGCTAACTTTATAGCGGGTTGGCTCTCTGTAGAGCTGTGTAGTCCTTTTGATCGTGTGATGATTACTTTGCACGTGTGGTGGGTCTAATTTATTGCCTGATTCACCAGTTAGTTGTGAGATAATTACTTTGTGCTTGTGCTTGGTTTTACTTTGTGTGTGTGTGTGTGTGTGGCGGGTCCAAATGTATTGTGTAATTCACCAGTTTGTTGAGCGACAATTACTTTGCATGTGTGGCCTGTCTTGCTTTGCACATGTGGCTGGTCAGAATTTATTGTGTGTGGCCTGTCTTGCTTTGCACATGTGGCTGGGCAGAATTTATTGCATGATTTGCCAGTTAATTGCATGATAATTACTTTGCACTTGTGGCCAGTCTGGCCACACCTACAATGTAAGTCTAAATTTATAGTGCAATTAACCTGTTCATTACCTAATATGTGTAACGTGTAGCAGGGGCTAAGTGGTTAATTGAAGTGATTTTTGTTGCTTTTATTTTTTTGGGCTCCCATAAGCTTAATTGTCAATCTGAAAAACCTCTTTCTGAGTGTGCACAGAGTGATATTTGGTGCCTCTGCTGCCGCTTTTAGCTTTCCAGAGCAAGCTTTAATGGAATGAAAACTGATACGAATTTTAGCTTAAATACTTCTCTTTGGAACTCATTTTGATCAGCTATAAAACTAAAGATAACCACATGTTTTTGTTTCTCTTGCTGCAGCAGAAATCCATGAACAGCAGCAGAGATAAAAGAAGCACATTCACAAGGTAAATTGGTAACAACTGTTTCCTTTCCTGCAGCATCTTGGAGCCTTCGTGGTGTCTAGAGATCTGGCTTATGTACAGTTATTACATTTCTAGCAGCTAGAGTACATTAAAAATGGAACTGGGAACAGGATGTTGGCAGAGGTGGATCCAGAGAAAGCGCAGTGGTTCTGTTGCACTCCCCTCCCACCCTTTCAAACCACACTGTGGGACTAGCAGCCAGGGACATTTTTAATTCCCTGAAGCAGGTAAGAATCCCTATCCCCCTCTTTCCC